AAAGCCATTACACCCTAAGAATATAATTGCATAGACAACTATTGGAAAAGACTTCCTATCTCATGACACAATGTTGGGCTTCCAGGTATTTTTGCTAATGAGGAAGGAAATGCTCCTACAATGAATGGCTGGAAACACAAGCTGCCAACAGAACGGCTTCAAGCACTGCCACAGGAAAGGCCACAACTCATGCTTGAATGTTTCTCAGCAGAGCCTCTGACCAGGCTGCACAGCTGACCTCCCTGTTTTTAAGCGATGGTGAGCATAGCAGATGGATGGATGGGGCTTGCTGTTCCCTAGGGAAAGGCTCTCCTGGCTTCTGCACAAGAAAACACAAAATCCAAACGTCTCCTTAGGTGGAAGGGATTCCTCTACATCTTTGCAACAGAACAAATAAAGGGGCAAGGGGGGAAGAAAACATTTATAAGATTTATTAACCATGCTATCATGCATCTCTCTTTTGAAACTATCAGGACAATTTAATCTGATTGCACCTACAGCTAAACTCTTGTTTAGCTTGCAGACAATACCATCATATCTAGCAAGCAGATCTTTCAAAGGCAGAGCCTGGAGACAAAGACAAAACTCTTAAAAAGTCACACAAAACACGTGGTGTGTGTGGCCTACGAAGTCAGTAAGGGAGTGTTTAGAGAGACCTACACAGAGACCTGTAGTGCTCCAACTGCAATAAAAATGTATAAACCACCAGAAGAAGTGGTTTTCAGAAGCAGGATTCGGTGATGCCAGCATGCAACAGCACTATTAATACCACCGTCCAGGCCTGCCGTGGGCAGTGGAAATGAACACAAACGCAGAAGGAATGCTAAACAGGAAAAGCAAAACAATACTTAGAACTCAGCAGCTGGTTAAATGGATACAAATCTTTTTTTCCCCCTTCCCTCTGCTCCAAATGAAGGGAGCCAAAACCCGCTTAGGACAGAAACGAACTAATGCACTATCATTTCCCAGCCCTGGTTTGATCGAGGCTCCCACCGTCAGATGACCACATGAATCAAACCAGCTCAGCCTCCGCTGAGGGTCAGAGCTGCGGCGTGTGCTGCCGACTGGAAATGAGCTACACGAACAGGGGCAAGGCGGGGAAAACATCCGAAGCACATGTCTGCATTGCGCGCGTCTTTAAACATTTATCTGACCCTCCTTTTCCTGAACATACGTTAGCACACACACAAGAAAGAAAAACAGCTGCTGTGAATTTTCCGTGCACTTGCTCCATTTGCTCAGGAATGGTGGGAACAAGCGAGAACAGAAGCGCTGAACTGGAGCTTTCATAAGGAAATCACTTGCGCCTTCTGCTGGAATCTGACGGCCAATTTGGTTCCTGGAAAATTACTGGAAATGTTTCTTAATTAAAAAGAAAACATAAGAAAAAACAGCATTTTGAGAAAGGCAAATTATTTCTCCATAGTGGAAGACGCAGCCAAATTTCCACTAATGGCATGTACGTGCCTCGGAGAAACAACCGTGTTCCTTGTTTCAGTGAGGAAAAGCTTCCTAGCTATAACCAAATGCAAGACTTTCTGCAGTCTTTGGTGGAAAATATGTGGATGGATAGCAGTCGAGCTTGTCACCAGACTGATTTCCTCTATCACTGCAGAGTTCCCCTGCTGCCAGGAAGTAATGAGAGTTCAAGAGTTGATTCCTGCCATTCGGATACCTGCCCACCCATTTCCAGTCAAACAGCACGAGGAGTTAACAAACCAAAGGACAGTTATCTCTGTCTTCACAAGAAGAACGGAGGGAGGTGATCAGCTAGAGAAAACCTACTGCCAAAATCACCAAGGAGGATGCTTTCTTATTGCATACCTCCTTTCCCACTGTTTAGCAACAGAAAGTACTCTCAAAAGAGATGGGAATCCCTAGAATGATTCTTGACAGTACAATCCAGTTGTCCCCTTGATGTGGAATTTAATGGCTTAGTTGTGCATGGGATGGGGAATATGATGATGCAGTTCCTTAAAACATCAGCCCATGCTACAAACACAACCCTTGCTGGCATAGAGGCCAGACGCGAATCAGACTCGGTTAAAAAACCAAGCTCAACTTGCCAAACCTATGAGGTTTGATCCAGTTGCTCAAGATCTACCTCTATCCAGTAAAAGCTATTACCTCTGACACAATTTCCTGCAAACAAAGGAGAAGTGCGATTAGTGGGTTGACAGAGCAGTGGTGGCTTCTGTACCGCAGCACAGTCTGCAGTGCTGATTGGAAAGAAAAAAGTCAGAGTTCTAGAAAATAAATTCATACATTAAAAATTAAAAGAGTAAAGATGCTCCGAACAACTTCACCTCTTTTTTGCTTCAAAACATTGTCTGAAAACAGTCTTTTTACAGGGTTTAAATCAGTAGTAAGGCACTAGTCCTTTACCTGGAGCACAGAGCTAATGGGCTAGCGTGCAAAGTATGGCGTAGGCTTGGCTTTCCTGCTGCCTGCATGTGAACAGATGGGTACAGGGCCAGGTCTTCCCTCTGGGATTGACTCCTGCTGTCCACCCCAGGCCGGTCTCCAGGGGAGGAAAAAAAGCACAGGGCACTTTCTAAAAATTGGCTACGCTTGGCAAACCTGCAATGCATTGCTCATGTTGGGTCAATGGACAGCCATCTCGTTTATCAGCTCTGACTTCCTGGTATTGATCTAAGGAGGTTTTTGCTTCCTGTATGGAATGGATAACAATTAATGTAGGAGACATATAATTTTAAGAAATTTGATAATCACCACTGATATTTGGGTAGACAAGAGGTCAACTCCTCAGGTGGCTGGTATATGAAAGGTGTGCTCTCCCTAGCATTAACTCCATTCCTGGGGCTGGTGGAAAGCTAATGCTTATTTTTTAACAGGTTTATTGTTCACCACTGTGTTCACTTGAGTGGCCTTTCTCTGGTGAGAGAGGAAAAATGAAGACATGAGAATAAGAGGAGCAGAGCAATGTGCTTAACAAAGTGTTACTCGTGCAGCACGTGGCATCCCTTGCGTGAAACCACGTGGTCTTTCCAGTCAATGCTCAGGAGCAGATTGCAAGAGGGGCTCCGGTCCTTCTTAGTGCTGAAATGCAGGGAGTCTCCCTGGGAATGATCCAAATCTTGACAGCTGTTTCACATCTCTGTCTTATTAGGGATAGGGAAAACGGGATAAACCATGGTTATGGTATTACATGGGTCAGCTGTGATGCATGTAAGGACATTGGTATTTTTGCAGCTCGGAGACAAAGAGACACTGTCATAGTGAAAAATCTCATTTTTGCCTGCGAAAAAATAGACCAGCTAGAGTCATGAGCAACTATGAGATTATCATAATTTAAAGGCATTAATGGAAAAATCATCATTTTTAATTCAGCTTATTTCCTTTGTGCATTTGACAGTGCACTGTCTAATTGTTCTCATTGTTCCTCATGCTCCAGCCATTTATTTTCCACTCACCAAATCCTTGCAAAACGAGTAAGGGTTTTTTAATGAAGTTTTAACATTTCACAAAATAATACTTTCACAATAATGTAGTCCAAGGCAAGATGAGAACAGATCAGAACAATTAAGTAGGTAGTAACCATTTAATCCAACCAGGATGCTTTTTTAAATGAAAGTGCCCACATATTTTTAGAACATTATAGTATCATATTTATAGCCTCTCAATTAAAACAAAAATACTCAAGTGCTTTTACCTAGTCTCACAGTTCTGTGTTTTGCTAGCAAAGGTCACTACCAAAGAAGACAGCTGTACAATTCAGAACTTTTGCATTACTTGACTGTTTAACACAAATTTATGCAAGCACTAACCTTTCTGCACCTCAGCCTTTTCATCTGTGCAGCAAAACTATGATATTGCTCTCTCTCACACAAGTGGAAGCCAAAAGCTTTAATTCATTGCTTGTGAAGTAGCACTGCTTGTAAAGTACTTGAATACTTTCTTCTTCTTCGGACCAATGATTATCGCTAATTTTTAGAGAATGAGTAAGTGTTGAAATGGGAAGATAGCAGTGGCACAGTGGGAGGATACCGTTTTCAAACATTTAATATTAAACAAATTGAACATTTCTGAATTTTCTCAAGTCCCGTCTGATAATTTCTTCTCCAGAAGAAGTCTAATTTACTAAATATCCAGGTCACTGTTAAAAAATAGTCTGTTCTCAGTTGTCATCACACGGCAATCAGAGCATAACCACATATTTTGACATGCAAACGAGCCCCATACTGATGAGCTGGTGGAATCCCACGGTTAGATTTGATTTCATTATATTAACACTTTGTTATTACTACCATTTAACTCAAGCAGCTGATCACAGATTTAAGCAGTGCTCAAAGACTATTCTTATTTTGATTTAAATCATTCTCAGCTCCTCCTGCCGTTCTCTCTTCACGTTGCTCACAAGTGCTGTAGGAGAGAAAGCCCTGCTCATTCGTCAGCAAATCATACAAGCTTACTGAGCTTGTTTGGGACCACAGAGACGTGGAGGGAAGCAGACAAGCAAATACAAGATGAAAGATCTGGCAGAGGCCATTTTCTAGAAAAAAAATTAAGGAGCTGCAGCCACTGTTCCATACATTTGACTAAATCCATGTATTTCGGGGATGACATCTTGTTATTTCTCCAAAGGCCGGACTCACGCAGCAGCCTTTAATCGACTCATTCACATCGCTGACATTATGCAACTGAACAAAAAGACTTTGCAGCTCCAACATGCAGCCTGGGGAACACGTAGGTCAAAGGAGTGTGCCTGGGCACACAGGCCAGCTCTCCTTCGGCAGTCCCTCGCCACCAATGTCAATACCGACGTGTATATAAAGCAACGAAAGCCACCCCTCCCCTGTGCTCCACTTAGTACGATTTACACACAGTTTTTCCCACCTGGCTGATTACTACATGAGTTCAAAAGCCCCCGAAAGAATCTTCACCTTTACCTGCAACCCAGAGCGTAAGCACAGAATTTGCACACAAGCATTTCACCGACAGAAATACACACATGTGTTAAAGTGCGGAGAGCAACTCACCGAATGCACAGGAAAGGAGCTGTGCCGGTTGAGAAAGGAGTTAGAGACTGACATAGTGAGGCCCTGAGTGGCACCGGTGTCCTCGGGGGTGAAGGGCACTTTAGTTTGCTGGACACAGTAGGAGACAGAAGGGAAAGAAGAGGCAGCATAGGAGGCCTGCTGAAGAGGGGGAAGAAAGCGAGAGACAGAAGACACAAAGAAAGAGAGCACAGAAAAGGCTATGAATAAAGGATAAGAAATGCTAACAGTAAAACAATGCATATAATGGCTTGCTAAACAAACAGCTATTCATACAGTTCATCAGAGCCAGACACACCAATATGCCTTTCTTCAGCTCAAGAGGCATGACAAAAAAATCACAGTTCAGATCTTCTTTGTTTCACAAATCCCTTAAAAATAAACTCCCACCTCCCCCTTGCAGTTCACCCATGGACAGCTGCTGCGGGTAGAGGCAAGCTGTTCCTCACTACCCTTTTTTCCCCATGGTGTGGGGGGCAGACGCCCAAAGGAGGAACGGGCTCTTCCTTCTGGCTAAGCAGCCAATTCTTGCAGACTACTATATTTTGTGGCAACCTGCAGACTGGGAACTTGGTCTCTCCAGTGTGAGCTATGAGCCCACACTGATACTGCTGAGATACTGGATAGCAGTGATGTCCAGCTGTTTTTCAGTCCAATCCAAAATAATGTATCATTTGCACAAGAGGGAGATACTAGACTGTAAGTAACAAATACTATTAAGGAGGGAGGCTAAGGTGTATTTAGGCTTTCTCAGCTCTGATTTGTTGAATATAATGTACAATGTTTCATAAACAATACCTGAAGTTCACAAGAAAGGACTTCCTAATTATTGTTTTATAGAGGAGTCTATCCAGCAAAACTTGCCTACTGCTAGAGCAGCTGATGCCCGTGTGATTTGCTCTCTCAGAAACTCTCACGGCAGCAGGAGCAGAGGAACAAGAGTCTGGTGGCTTTTGCAGCAATTGTTGAATAAGCCATCATCTGCTTGCACCACTTTCCCAGCAGAGAGACAAAGGTAAGGGTGGGAGGCTGCATTTGAAGAAACCTGTGCTTCCGGGGAACTGCAAGCAACACCTTGATGGTATCAGCTTGCAAAACTACAAGAATGTCTAGGAGGCAAACCAGTGACATCTTAGCTGCCCAGATAATGATTAAAGGGCAGCAAAGAAACGCTTTGCTTCTGCCGACAAATTCAGAAAAGGAGCAGAATTTCCCTTCTGCCCAACAGCTACAGTAAATCTGTGCTTTACACACCCTCTCTCATGACCATGTAGACCAAGTCACCACTGGAAACTATCACTAGAGTGTAGTCACCTCTAGGAGGAGGTAGGGTAAGGGACTACAAGGTACAAGTGACAGTGCAAGGATCACACGGAGAAGGGGACCACAGACTCTGGCGAACTGCCTGACGCTTCAGAGAGGAGTCTTCTAGACTCTTCAGTCTCCCTGCAAAGCAGATGGGTCATGGGTGTTTAAGGTCTCATCCCCACAAAGCAATAATGCATTATACTCAGTTTAGCTTAGTCAGAAATGTTACTTTATCTTTTTAGGACTCCTACCTGCATCACAGGAATGTAGTTATGCAAATCCCCAAATTATAGATTCCTTGGTTGCTTTTTGCATTTGATTAAAAAGTAACACCCTGGCACAGTCAAACTTTAGCAATGATAGCATGAAGAAATATTGCAATAGTCACCCTCCTGATGGTAAGACCATGGCTCTGTTCCCACATTTCCTCCTGTTTTGTTAAAGCCATGGCCAATTTAAGTCAGCTACATCAGCACAAAAGATGCTTTTTTTTTTTAAATAGAGAAAATCAGATAATTAATATAAACAAAACCCCTAAGGTTGGATTTAGAGAAAAGAAAGACAGACCCTTAAAAAGAAATAGGGTAAAATCGCAGCTCCACTGAGGTTACAAACAAAACTGCTCCTGCCATCACTGAGGCCAGGATTTCATCTCCCACATGGAAAATGGCACTTGCTGTACTGTTAAACCCATGACCGACCACACAAACACATGTGGATGTGCCTTTTTGTGCTGGCAGTCTGGGAGGGCCAGCAGAACAGTGAAAAACAGGTAAAATCCTGAATCGCACAAGGGGACTAACGTGGAGAAAACATGCATGAGTTAAGTAACGGCTATACCAAAGTTCTGTGGCTCTGGCAAAAACTGAGCCATAAAAACAGTTATTATGTTTAAACGGTTATTATTAGTGGCATCCTTGACAACAGTTTCAAAACAGCATTGGGAACAACAGTGCAGCAATCTCTTGAAAATCGTGTTGCTCAGTGTGTCAAAATCTTCAAAGCAGTTGTCGTTACACAAGCCTGTAGTCTGGCACAGATTCAGTCATGCCATGTGGAAGACTAACGTTTAATTTTTAGGGCATTTTAGGACTTTCAGAGCTTGTGGGGAACAGCCTGAACACGGGGTTAGAAAGCAGCTCAAAGTACATGATGCAAAATGCCTAAAAACACGTTAACAAGATGACAAGGAGCATGATGTGGTAACACCAACGAGACATCCTCCCACCACCGCAGCCTGTTGGAAACAGGAGTAGCAAGAACAGAGCTGTTCCTGGGAGGCTGGTGTGCCCTGCCGGGGGGGCACCACAGATGTCACTCACCAGCTGCCGCTGTTTCGGTGGGAGAGCAGGAGGAGGTGCCAGATCTTGAGGGAGGTCTAAGTTGATAAAGGAGTCATTGAACCCATAGACTTCCATGAGGTGCTTGTTCTTCTGCTGGTAGATGTGCTCGTTCTGAGGGGTCTGGTAGAACATGGATGGCTGTGGCTCTGAGTAGTCTTCTACAAACTGCATATACGCCATCACTGCAATGCAAAGAAAGGTCACACTCACTGCTCCTGGTCTGCACGCTGCAGCTGCAACAAGCAGGCAGGGTGCTCATTCCCAAAATAAAATAGAAGTAAGGCCATGCCGCTGTCAGTGGGGCTTTGCTGCAGGCTGGGAGCAGCAAGGCATCTGTGCTGTGCTCCCAGGTAGCTCACACAGTCAGTTGCCATTCACCTTGAAGGAACGGATCTCCATATCCCATCCTGCAAGCCAGCGCACAACAAACATAATCACAGGCCACAAACACATCTGACGACAGGTTAAGGAACCTGTGAGGTCTCCAAACAGCTATTTGAGAAGTCTGATTCACTGACGCTTAGCCCAAATCCCTTCCTCATGTAACCCATGGCAATTTTGAGAATATTCTTCAAGAGCTAATGCCCAAAGTTACCAAATAAACCCGGAATAACTTCAGTCTGCTTTCCAGGAGGCACAAATCATCTTAGAATCATAGAATCATTATGGTTGGAAGAGACCTCAAAGATCACCAAGTCCAGCCGCATACCCAATGCCACCCATACCCATGCCCATCTTGTACAAAGATGCAACCTTGACAATATATCTGTACTAATTCTTGAGCCTACAGTAAGTCTCGTATCTGTAGTCAGCAAGATATCTAGAAGGAGGACGCTTACAGCCTTTCTCCATTCTAGCAAGCTGATATAACAGTTATCGGAGAACATCTACCTGCAAGACTGCGTGTACCTCTCCCTCAGCTATTTATATGCCACTGCCAACGCTGGCACCAGATACCTTCTAAAAGTGCCACTGACCATGCCTTCCTATCCCCTTAACTCAAATCCAACAGCCTTTGCTCCCACCCCTTTTTAAAGCATCTTATCTCTAATTCTTGAATCCAACTGATTCAAAAGCTTTTCTGAGATGTGGGTCAATGGAAATATTAAATGGGACCAAATCTCATTTAAAGGACCTTTCCATCTGTGCAATATCCTTCCAAAATCTATGAAAAAACCCTCACAGGTCTGCCTATGCAGGTCTGACAGAAGATTAGTTACTGCTGCAGTATTTTAGTGTTGGAGGGGGAGAATGACACCCAGTGTCATAGAAAGACTACTATAAACCCCTAGAATTATTAAGGATCGGAAGTGTACTTAATAAATGTAAAACGAATAAAGAACTCTCTTCTATATACCTGAGAACAGGAGCAACAGATGTATTTAAGTGTCATAAAAGTGACTAACCAAGGCCTTTTTGTAAATACACTGCGATGCACAAGGTACTCTGTGATCATTCCTCCCTTCCTCCTGATAAACACGCAGTTGTCAGTTTTTGTAAATCTGGTCATTAGGTGGCAATTATTCAGCTTCTGCTGCCATTTCAGTTGTACAGCTGAAATGAATGGATGACTTCAGTGAAAGCTATAAATACAGTGACCACAATGCAGTATTTGCACATCGTGAAGCCGGTTCCCACACTAGCTGCAAGGCAAAGCCCTCTGTTCACCTGCCAATGCAGATCTACAGGCCAGCCCATTTCAAACAGGATGCAGCCGTGCAAATGTGTTGGCAGGAAGGAGTCGCTTTGCACCTGTCTTTTGCACCTTTTTTCAGATTTCCTCTAATATTTTAAACTCCATTTAGAAATGGAGCTAACACAGCTGCCCCTTCCCACAGAATTATATCCCTCCTCCAAAAAATAGAATAAAGGGGGAAAAAAAAAAAAAAAAAGAAAGAAAAAGGTCGTGGCAATCGGAGCGCAGGAAACCTCAGCTGATGGATTTCCATTCCAACCGGCAACACCTGCTGTCCTCATCCTGTGACCCCACACGGTCCTGCCCACGGACAACCTGTTCGTGTCCCACAGCACTGGCAGCTCCTGCACACCTCTGCCAAGGTTGCTGAAATTCTGACTTCCAACACGCCCTGCCACCCGAGCCTTGCTCCTCTTCCTCTCCCAGCCGCCCTCCTGCCTTCCCAGCATCGCTTCACAGACATAAGTCACCACCTTTGCTGGTTCAGACCTCTTCTTCTTGAAGGGTGCGTAACAGAGGTACCAAACTGCACACACATGCGTGTTGGTGTGTGTTTGTGCCCACTCATCTGCTGGTGTCAGCACTCATGTTAAAGCCAAGATCAAATTTGCTCATGCATGTGAATTTCAGCCTAAGCCCTAACACTGAAAAGAAGCATGTTCTGGCAATATTATCTTATTTGAAATCATGGTGAAGAAGTCTTCGTGTAGAAAATACAGAATTGCTAAAATCCTGTTTTCAAACATGAATGATTCAGTTGACTAAGGTAATTCTATTAATACCCATGCCCTGAAAAATGTCTTGGTATCATACAAGAACTTTAGAGGATGAGATCTAAAGAAGGATTATGAAAGATATTTCTCTAGCAGCAAAAGTGAACTAAAGATCAAGACTCCTTGGAGAAGTGTAGAGGACAAGAGCTTGAGGGAAAAGACCACATTTTGAGAGCTCATCAACTGAGTAGGACAAAAGCCAAGAAGTCAGGCTTGGCAGTCCTGGTATAATGCAGCAGACATTGCTAAATTCAGATCAACCCTTTATGTGGCGTTACCTACAAAAACAGTGCTTCACTTAACATCCAGATCTGAAGACAACACTCAGGATCGATAGCTGTGAGTTCTGGGTTCAGACGTCTGTATGACCACAACTCTGAAGTGTTGGTGAAAAGGGCATCACGTTAGACACTTGCGTAAAATTAAATTACTGTAACTCAAGGTAGCAAGCCTGAATGCTGTTGAGAGCCTTAACTCAATCTGCAAGGGAATAATGAAGAGCTCTTTTATCTCAGCTCTTTATGAGGCTAATGCATCCCATCGTCATGGCAGCTCCCCTGCCTTGCTTGTTACAACTAGTCCAGGGCAGGTGAGCATGTCTCTGCTTCTACTTTGTCATCTTCTCTGTTTTTAGGTGAAGTGAAAAACAGTTGGGACGGTGAAATAAAACCTGGCTCAGGGGTAGAGACCGCAGAGCACAAATGAAAATAGGCATCATTAAAATGCTGCCTATCTTGAACAGGAGAGTAAGGGAGCCACTCCTGAGATTGCTGTTTGCAAAGGGTCTTCTCTCCTGTCTCTCCCTCCATCCCTCCCCCTCTCTGCTGTGGTTTTTAACAAGGCAGAAATTTAAAAAGCAGATGGGAAATTACATCACCAGCTCAGATCAGGCTGCACACCCTGCAGTGACTCTGTGCAGAGGGAGGGATGGGGGCTGCAACCTCCACGGTGAGCAGCCAGGGTGGAGTGACACAGTCCCAAGGCAGCACCCCAGGAGAGAAGGGAGGAGAGAGAGAGAGAAACCTCTCCTACCACATGCCTAGCTTATGTCAGTCCTGAACCCAGATAGAAAATATTTGAAATAAAAAAACCCATAAAGTCTCCGACTGAGGCTAGGAACACCTTCCCAGCAATCTACTTGCAGTGTCTTGGCTGTCATTTCTGAAGCAGCTAAAGCTGCTCAGGGATTTCTAGCACACACCAGTTCTGTCCACATGGTAGAAGTGCCAGGCATTGCTCAGAGGGTACCAGCAGCGCCCGAGCCCGCTCGCCGTGCAGCTGGGGAGAGCAGCAGCTGGTCCTGGAAGCAGCACTCGGCCGCAGGAGAGGAGAGAAAGTGGCAAGCGACCTCTTGTCAGGAAAAGACCCTGGGACCAGTGGTTGTCGGAGTCTACAAGGAATTGCTGGAAAATTTTCAGCCATAACGCACATCTGCAATATAGGTAAGGCATAGTAGTATCTGATACAGAGGACTCACCGAAGGTCTAGCCTGGCTCCTGGTGCTGTGTCAGCAACCTGTGTTACAACTGGCCCTGCACAAGTGCAACAGATTTGTGTGCATGGGCAAGAGCCAAAATAATGGAAATTCTTAAGCTATACTACACATCAACTCACTGGAGAAGTCAAGGTCAAATAAGCCAGTCTTTGCTGTCACCTCTGGGAGGAGAGCTGTTTTTCAAAGAGCTCGCATTATCCGCTGGCTAAGCCCAGACTGCCCTCAGCATGGTTCCTGCAGTTAAATACCAGCTGCTTACAGGGCACCAGGCTGCATTTTGTTCCCACTGTCAGGGAGAGAAACATGAATAAGTGCCTCACCACTAGTTTCCAAGCTGTTTAGGGGGAGGATCTTGTTATTTCTGACTCTAGGCTCTTCATGGCAGAAGCTGCTCCATGTCTGTGGCTTGTACAGCAGAAACACAATGCTGGTGCTCAAGCAGAAGTCTGGAGTAATTTGCCCTTAGCACAGTAACATGTACTGTTACAGAACAGTAAAATAACAATAATTCATGCCATTCTAAAAGGCTTATCACTCCTCTGTTTAAATTATACAGAAGTCAACTCTTGGAGGTCCCTCTGAGCAGAGCTCACAGCAATACACATGGTTAACTCAAGCAGGATTTGCTGTCTATTACCAATAAAAAGACCATCAAAGTCTCTGCTGCAACATTTCCTGCCAACTACCAAAAGATGACCTGCAACAAAGGGACTACAACCAAGTCCCATCTGTGTGAGCTCTAGATCTTCTTAATAAATTCATGCACCTCCTCCAGATCTCAGGAGTTTGGGGTTGTGGAAGCAGCACTGCCTCACCTATGTGATTACACAAGAATTACTACATGCATCAGCCTCCAGGCCAAAAAATCCTGGGTGCTACCGTACAGCCTGAGTAATGTTTTACTGCCCTTTTAATGTTGAAAATAAAAGTAAAACTAACAACCACAGATCTGTGGTGTGATATACTGTGGAGTAAAGGCAATCTAAAACAAGTTCTCAGTGTCGCATGAATGCAATTAAAAAATCCACAGCAGCCAGGTATCAACCCAAATACTACTACCAGCTTTGCAGCAAGGATGTTTTATCAAACCATCAGAGCTGACAACACATAAGGCAACAGCTTCTGCCTTTCCTAACAATGCAATCTGATCAATACTCCAAGAGCTTCTGATAGTGCCAGATAACAAGTGACAATTCTATTCTAACATCAAAGAAAATTCACATACAAGGCCTTGGTATTGAGGCTAAAAGTGGTCATGGGCAATAACGGAGAAGATAGCTTTTAAAATTGTTTTTAAGTAACTCCTTGACATCTTGTATGATAACAGAAAACAAAGACATGGGGCTTAAAGAGAAAAGCAAACACCCCAGGTCTCTCTTTCAACTGTCAAATTGCCTCTTACCGAAGACTCACCCAGGCATCTCCCCCTACTAAAGCTGCCTATGTGTACACAGGCACATTTCCCTGCATCCATCCCAGTCTGCATGGTGTAAAACCACCTGGATCCAGCCCTCGTTATTAATATGCAGAGCCTACAAGGACCTGATCCTACAATAAGGAGGCTCTGTATCACATCCCCTTGCAGCAGGTACTGCAGGCGAGTATCTTGAGCAGCACGAGCCATAACAACCAACCTTGGCTATGCCCTGTGTCAGCATTTATTTCCTTTCTGTTTTCTACAAACAACGATCTCAGCTCCTTTTTAGCTGCTTTCAGTATTTGTTAACTGCTTGCTTACCAGAGAGGGACAAAAGTGATTTCCTATCTATGGGGACACTGAACTACAAGATGACCCTCACTTTCAGGTGGGTCAAGTCTTGTGCTCTGAGTAAAATGCCAGAGGGTTACAAATGAGGACGAGTCACTTAGGGATAATGGAAATGCTTTTAGCCAATGCACTTTTTAAAAAAGCGACTGGCACAGTACACTACCACAGGAACGGACAGAATACTGACCCTGCTGCACGACACACCAATCTCACTTCCACCTTATTCTCAGTGAAGACTATAAACTGCAGAAGTGAGTCAGAAGGCCAGCTCAGCACTTTCGAATCAGCTCTTCACTTGGGCTGCCAGCCATATAACATAACGCTGTTGATCCAGATCTTGTATACGCTACCTCCTCATGCGACATACAACTGCAAAGCAAGCCAGTGACAAGTAAACTAACATCTGCTGGATCTCACTAGGTAGTCCGCAGCCTTCCTTGGCAGATCAGTATGGCTCCTTTTTTGGCAAGAGGTTTCACATTTTTTTCAGCCATGAACATTAAGGAAATCAGAATAAGTTTGTGAGCTTGAGTCGCAGTCAGTACTGATGTGCCAGGAGTACGGCTGGGGACGGCAAGCCTTCGCATTTAGAGGCTGCTCATTTTAACAATGTAGGAAATTCTTAGGCATCCAAAGGAAACGAGATCCCATAGCAAAACAACAGTACTGGACGCTAGGTTAATAGTGTTGTCTTGCACAGCTATGTGGGTGACTAGGTTCTTATTGCCAAATAACTGCTCTGGCAATGCTCAGTTTTGGACAGAAAAGCATCCCTTTCTCTGAGCTCTTGGAGAGAACCCAATTCTTTTCTGCAGTGGGAAAACATTAACAAAATGGGGGCAGGGAGGAAGGAGTGGACATAAAAAAGGAGGATAAACCAGGAAGATCTGCAAGGCAGAGTGCCTCAAAGATTTGCACTCGGGTAAATAGAGAAGTAAAATGGTCTCACTATAGTAATGAAGACGCTGTGTGATGCCAGCTCCCCTGGGCCTGGATTGTTCCCGCCTCCAAGAGTCAATCCCTGTCTGCCAAAGGACTGACACTTCCCTTCCATGCCTTGGACGCTGACTAACTGATCTTGACACTCAACCTCATGTTAGCAAGGGCATTACCTTGCAGTCACCATTACATCAGAAGCACCACAACTGCAAGGAAAGGGAAAGGTAAAAGTAAAACCCAAACGCAAGAACTTGCTTACTGTGTTTGTTTTTCTTCTCTGGCAGAGGTGGTGGCTTTTCTGGGTCACTGTTAGAATCTGGAGCAGCAAAGTCAGCAATGAATTCAACCGGTGCTGAAGAGTTTCCTTGCTGGAAAGGCAAAACAGCAGCAAATGGCGTGAAGGGTACTGATGGGACAGACGCTGCATTCTGTATGTCATCCTCCGAGATGTTATCGTATTGGGAAGGGTGCCTCTCATAGGACACCCTGCAGCCTGAGTTATCTGAAGTCTGAGAGGCTGCGCTCCTCCTCTTCTTTTCTGGTAAAGCTGGAGGAGTCTCTGTTGGCTGTGCTGCTCCTGAGAGGCTGCAGAATTCCAGTGGAGGAGAGCTGCCCTGCGGGAGCTGGAAAACATGTCCATGGAAAGGGGAGCCAGACTCACCCAAGGACTCTGGCAGGGGGCTGAGGATACCTGGCACCTGCTGAGGTATCTGATCAGCGTTGGAGAGGTCCTGCTGCAGGAATTCATAGTCCGGATCATAGTGATCTGATTGATCTGGTTAAACAAAGGGGACAGGAGAATGATGCATTAGTTTCTCTCTTTTATTGTTTAGCCCGTCTCAATTCTGCTCCTCCCATTCCATCAGTTAATTAATCAGTTCATTTAATCAGAGTGGTGCTTCCTTGCAGCAGGGACCATCGTGCTACACCTCCTGTAACATCCAATTGTAATCTCTTCTTATTATCGCTTTACACTAGCAAAGAAGTAACAAAAATTCAAAAGGTAGATCATTGCAGAGATTATTTATGTTTCATATTTATTTTCTTTCCTAGTATATAGAAACAACTTCACTTTAGTCTACCAGGACTGTCATTTCTGCAGACAAGACTGAAATCAACACAACATTCCACTTGAGAGCTGAACTGAGTTTGAACACAATCATCTATAGCTAGGGAAACACATTCCCCTGGGCTTTTTCCTATCCAACAGAATATAATTCTGCACAGAACCGCCTGCAGCAACTACAAGATGACAGTTGCAAGCACAATCCATTTATTTCTGCATCACAGCTATGACAGCGCCCAAACGAGAGTGAAGGGGGCTCCTCCAGCAGCCCTGGACAACCCCCCACTTACCTAATGTTTCACAGCTTGTGTTGCGGGAGCACTGACCACTGTCACGGTCTAGAGAAGAGAGTTGCTCATCAGACTTGCTGAGTTTGCCGATGCTACTGCATGGTGAGAGTCGAGGGGATTCCCCCCCATAGGAGTGGCTTCCACCCGACAACCTTCTCTGGGCATAGCAGTCAGCATCAAAATCCTTAAGCAAAAAAATCAAATCACTGTCATTCTTGGCAGCTCGCTAGCAAGGAAGAGGCAGCTCAAGGAGCAAACACCTCAGAGCTGCATTAAGAAAATCAGGTGGGGACAGGATCAGTGCTGCTAGCCCTCTCTAGTTAAGACAAGCTCATCAGGACCACAGAAAACCTCTCATCTGGTAAACAGCCCATGCTAAGGAGCTCTGTGTGTTCTTGCTTCCTGGAAGGGCATGCTGTGACCCATGCTGGAATTCACAGACGCTCAGAAGATGATCGAGTTCCTCAACGCTACGCACATCTGATGCCTGCTTGTCAACACACTGATACTACATAATCAGACTGCAAGATTTCTCATTAAATAACTGGGGCTTTAGCAAAGATTTGGTTAGCTTAGGTGTATGCGAAAGGAAAATAAGCCACAGTGAGATACAACTTTCTGTGCCTATGACTACATTTCTATTTGGAAATTACCTCAAGCTCATCAACCTGTGAGTGAACCCCTCAAGTATTCCCACTCCGGCAAAACAACCTGAGTGTGATTGTACCAGTAACTGAAGAACTGCCACAGCTTTATCTGGGTCAGCCAAACAACTGCAGAGGCTCCCTAAGCCAGAGCTGAGGCTTTGGGATGAGGGCAAGATTTGATTTTGGTGCAATTTAATATGATTCAGGTCCTCACTGCTCAGTTAGTAAGTTTTTGAATGTGTAAAGCAAACCTAGCCGTTTACAACCTCATAAACCCCAGACTAGCACAAGTGATGGAATATGATTAACACACACAGTCCCAAGTTTTCCATTTTTCTACCAGAAAATTTACAAATTTCCCCCAAAGCACCAGCAGTGGTCAGAGCAGTTACTCAAACTACTTACTGCTTGGATTAAAAGACATTTTAAATTGTGACTAGATGAAGACAAACTTCTGATCTCAACATGCCACATGCTCCCTTGGCCTGTAAGTAAACCTTGGTGAGATCTTGGTAAGCTCAGCCAGCTGCTCTGTACCCTGATCTATTCCACACGCCACACTCAACTGCTCACATCATCACACTCTGCTACAGCTCAAGGCAACAAGGACTGTAGCAATTTGTTAATTAAATCCAACAACACTGTAAAAAAAAGAAAGCTGTTCACTTTATTTATTATACTGATGTTCCTGCCACTAAAACTCCCACTCCAGAGTTCTCTGGTACAGGGCTGTTTGGGATAAGCAGAGGCATGCAGGGAACTGTATGGCTGCAGGTCACAGCATTTCTCCAAGTTTTTGCTACAGTTCACTGCATGTTTCCCTTGGCTTTCACAAAGGGGTTATACCATTACCTGTCTGTTGATTCCAACAGGTAAACTGGACCCACTGGTGGCTCGACTCATGGGGGCCACAACTGCCACTCTGGTTGGGGAAGGTGCCGACTGCCGTTTTTTAGGGGGCAATGCTGGTGGAGGGCTGCAAGACACAACAGGCATTGATGCTTCCGTTACTCTTCCAGCAAAAAGACTTTCAAAGGCTTCACGAGCTTGATTTCTAGAATGCCTTCGACTTGCCAGGCTTAAAGCTCACAGGTTCTTTTCCAAAGTTGGCCAGGAGCAATTCAGCAAAGTGTATCCACTAACAAATACCAATTCAAGAATACTCTCACAGGTAAGGTCCTGTTCAGTGATTTATTTATTAAGGTTGGAAAAGAGTTGGTATTTCTCAAACAAAAACAATTGCTATTTTAAAAATTATTTTTAATGGAGATAATTAGCATGATAATTATTTCTTAATAAAAGTGGTAAAAATCTGTCTTAAATGTTTTGGTTGACCCAAATATTGTTTCCACCCACAGAAGTCTCTCCTCCTCAAACCTTTTAGGTTTGAAAAATGTTCAAAGTTTCAAAAATTCACAGGACAGGAAAATTCTTTTTCTGCCTTCTTACTCTCATGGTGAACTTCAGGGAACAAGACGGTCAGTGTTGCTCTCACCATGTATAGTATGAGGGTCTATGTTTTGGCATGAATCTGTTTCAGATACGCACATTAGCAGTAACTAGTGAGATTTTAACCACCGTACTTTTAGCTTTTGCTTCTAATGACACACAATTCTGGTAATTGTCAAGCCTGCGAAGTTCCCAAGAGTACACATATTCTGTTCCTGGAACATACCAGAAAATTTTTATATAACCCATGAGAATTCATAAAATACACAGAAATGTGATTCTTTTAGTTAGCCACAGCCCTCGATGCCGCATTTTCAAATTAGCAGGACTTGTATTTTTCACACCATCCATTAGCACCAGTACTAGAGAAGAAAAACATCATACACACAGACTCAAAACCTGCAAATTGGGGGTTTTCTCTTCCTTCTCAAAATAGAACATAGAAACTTTCATGTGGTTAGTCATAGAATAGGGTAAGAAAAACCAAGTAAAGGATTTTTTTTCATGCACTATTGGCTCCTTTCACTCTTAAGCTGATAAGCAATGCAGAACAATCTGGATGTGCAGGACAGATTAACTGCCAGCTGAGGTTAACAGAGTATTTCCCATTGGATACGACAGCACAAGACACTGTTGTACAGTGTGGTATTCACATAGTTTTAAATAAACTTCTTAAACATTTATGTGCTGCCTTTCATGCATAGATCTCAGGGCATAGCACTATCCTCACATAAAAAGAAGTAAAGGAAAACACAGATAACGAAGGGTATTGCTCAAAACAAGAGAGAATATAAACTCATAAACAGAGTCCAGGAGCAAGGAAGAATTAACTCTGGAGGACTGGAAATTCAGAGGCATCACTAACCCTCCTCATGACCTCTCTTGTGCACATTTTGCAAGATTGTTTAAAAAACAAGAAGCCGGTAAGAGCCACTGGTATTCTTCAGTCAGCTAGCTGGCCAGTATTACCTGTTTTCTGCCACACGAATGCTAGGCAGAGGGGGTTTAGGAGGTGCAACTTCTTCATCCATGGAGTCAGTCAGTAGCTCATTGGATTGAGTCATATTAGTTGTTTTATTGAGGATCTCCATTTCTCGGTCTGTAAGGGGAAGTTCTGATGGGCTGCAACAAGCAAAATACAGATTGTACATCATAAAACACAGTTGGAATGCAGCATGCTGACAGATTAATACGTATTTTAAACCATATGCAATATGAGACACACCTACAGCAGAAGGCAGAATTTGCATCTGCAGGTGGAATTCCATGTATGTGCAGAATACAACGTGCACATGTCACGGCCAAGCGATGCTTCATTGCCAGATTTTGCTATCTTCCCTATCACAGCATATTCTCTTTAAGTGGTTCCACTGTAATGGACGAGGCTACATAAAAAACACTACAGTATCCTCTGTGAAGAATAACTGAATGCTTTAATTTAACTATCAGTAGCCAGAAATTGTCCCTTCTGCACACAGAAGAAATCCTTGTCAGTGACTCACCTGTCAGATTTACATGCTGGTAAACTGGGTTTAACTGGGCTTGTGGGAGACGGATGCTCCTGCTTTTCAATCGTGAGTCTGACCAGTTCCTGATGGACGGAGAGGAGAGAAGCAAAAGAGAATAATCATTATTTGCTGAATGCTGCACTCAAACATCCTAGGACAGAAAAGGATGCGACTGCAGTAAACTCTTGGTTACCCAGGTTATGGATTAACAATGGCACAGACACAGAGAGCGCTGAGCTGGGTGTGAGTCTGGTACAGAGCCGTACAAATGATGCAGCTCTGCTTCTAAGGAGTAGCCTGCACCCAGCAGTAGTTTAGCCATACTTGAGTTAAGTTCATAAACCCTGGCCCTATGGGGATTCTGCACAAACCCACATACGTGTCTTTTTGCTGTGCTTCCTCTTTCCTCTGTCATCACAAATGTGTTTTAGTCCCCACAACACCCTAGATAATGGCAAATTGACTTTACATACATAAACATAAATACAGAAAAGTCTTACACAGTCGAGTACTTCACGTAGCCAGTAAAAAAAATTAAATAGCTGCTTTATATTTTATAAACAAGTATGTATTTGTTTCAAAAAGCAAGTTTTCTGTAAGATGGCCAAGAACTAATTAAATAGAGAACACCTTTATTAAAAGGCCTGCTTCCATGAAGCCATCTTTTAACACGTTAGCAATGGAAGTCTTAATCATTCAAGTAACTGCTGTAGTGTATCTGTTATAGGCAGATAAGGCTCTGGATAAAGAGATAAGGGCATGATAATCCTGAGCTACAAGTCTGCCAGCAGTCAAAACAACAATCATTCACGCCAGAAAGATGGAGAGAACCTTTTATGGATGTCTGAGGCTGACAAATAGATCTACTGCTCACAGTTACAAATAATGCCCCCTTATAGGCAGGCTGGAAAACTCACAGTGCTTTCAGACAGTATTGGCTTCCCAGCATATTATGCAAAGGAAACTATATGGGATCAATTTTAAATTATTTTTTAAAGCAGCCTAAAGTGCAGTGTTGTCATTCCAGGATCATCTTCATGTCCATGTCTGCTGAGCTTGGAAACAACTGTCATTGCTCTCTCAATGCAGTAACTGCAACTGGAATGTTGTTGTCATCATCATCCTTCCGAGGAAGGGAAATATTCTAGTTCTCGTGTTTTTATATAAAGCTCTATTTAAAGCTGAACTTCCATGGGTCAGCACACGCACAATAAGAGGAATGAAGTACTGCACTGGATGTGCAAAGGACAGCAAACACAGTCCAAGCGTCCACCGCAGCTGATTTTGGTTTCTGTGCTCTACTTACACTCTTGGTGAGTTTGTGCTCAAAAATAATTTACACCGGGTCAACCAAAAACACGACAAAACACCCAGCTTTCCAGAAGCCGTCCTGGAAAATCCCACATGTGAGGAAGGAAGAGAGAGCACAAACAGAGCGCACACAGATGTTCATGCAGGCTAATGCTATGAAGATGTGTTCCTGTCTGGGACAGACAGACGAGAGCCCTGGTGAGGAACAGCATGTTCTGAGAAGTGCCCTGATGAGAAAAAGCACAGCACCAAGCTGACCACAGCCAACTAGCCTGGCCAGCTCCCACCTCCAAGGAGGTCCACGTCCCCAGTGGGGAAATACTCTGCCACAAGGAGCAGCAGACTGACAGGGCTTTTGACAATCAGCTCAACTGTGGTAATATAACTTACATGGTATATAGAAAATTAAAATAATTAAGACCCTTCAATCACAGAAGAAATACAGTAGTAACATAGACACTGAACCGACCTCAGACTTCTCTGCTGAGTGTCTCCAGTTACTCAACAGAAACTACTTTTAAAAAGAGTACTTTCCTCTGTTTCATCTTCTCTTTCAGGATGAACAATCTTTAAAAACTTGCTATTCCTTTTAGACTTCAGAAATTCCCCTATAAATTCTACAGAACGTCACTAGGAAAAACAAGCGTAGGACCTGAGAGCCTACAAACTCCAAATAAGGCTCTTCTGTAAATCAGACAGTTTGGAAATTACACAGTGACATCATTTGACTCTTCTGGCTGCAGCTGTCACCATGCTCCGAGTCACTGTCAGGAGTGGGTGATGACACAACAGATTGCCACCTTCTTGCCCTCTGGACAAACTTCCACTGCCGAAGAGGTTTCTGGAGATTCTCATGCACTTTAACAGACTCAGCGTCGGACCTTGTGGGGCTACCGGGTACTCACCAGCAAGAGCAGTGACTCCACACAATGCATAAGAGCACAATAAGGGGAAATAAAATGTACAGGCATTCAAACCAAAAGGCAAAATACTCCTTAAACATCCCCCCCTGGAAGTGCTATGGAAGGGAAAATGTAACGTCTCCTCTTCCTCACCTTTCTTCACCACGTTTAACACCTTAAACCAAACCAAGGCCAGCACTGCAGACCTTGGTCGAGCTCCTGACGCTCGGGACTGAAGTGCTGACTTTTCCTATTCTGCCAGTTGTAACGGACACTCAGTTGTCCACCATATGGGAGTGTAGGTTACAGGGGAGAAAAACAATCAAATGTGGCTCAAAAGTATCTTTGGAATGATTCAAACCATTGTGGCTGTCGAAAAAAACCCCAAAACAGAGACCAAGACAAGGTACGATCGCCAGTACTTGAGAGGATCACTTTTTCATCTAAACTTTGACAAATACTGCCAGATTCCTTGGGCCCTGACTCTTTCTCCTCTCTACTAGCCTCCAAATGAGAACCAGCGTTTCAAAATTAAGCCAAGATCTTCAGTGTACACACAGAGGTAATCAGCCTGCAACTGAGCCAGATGCACATTATGCTATTCCTTATCAGCAAGTAAAGAGATTCCTGCAGCAGTAATTAGAGATAATTAAAGCTTCTCTACAAACTTATGCTACTGCAGCAAGCTGGAAATTCCAAAATGAGATGGATTTTTAAGAAGTTACGTAATCTAAACAAGAATTTTCTTCTTTTTATATATGCCCAGCAAGGCACTAAAACCTGAGATCAAAACAGCAAATAACACAAGTGAACAAGCGACTCTTTTATGCTCAATTCTGAAAATAAAGGGGGAAGCAAGCACTGAAATGTGGAAGTGGATCTTGTGCGATCTGCCAGAAAAACAAAAAAGGCTCTCCACAGCAGAGAAGTGTCCAACTTCTCAGTTCTGCTTCCAGATCTGAAAGCTGGCTTGGTCCTTCTAAAATAAACCTTGTTCCTTGCTGTGCAGTAGGAGATGAGTGCACGCCACTTCCAAATGCTGACCTGGTGACGGGCAGACACATTCGCATCTACCCAGACAGCCACACATCTGCTCTAACCGTGCTCCAAGCTGACCAGACATAAGCCAGCTCCAACTGGAAGGCCAAAATAACTTTTAGTCTAACAACAAAGTAGAGACTGATATAGCCACTCTGCTCAGCAGGGCTTAATAGCTCAGGCTTAGCACTGTACGGACATGCCTGCATCGCTTCCAGCCCAGGCTGGCTCGCAGCGCAGGCAGAGCAGGCATCTAAGACCTTCCACCCATCCACACAGGCACGCTACTTTGGCTGGAAGGCAACAGGTACCAGGGGTTTAAATATTACTTGAAGAGAAAAGACAGTGGGTGTCCAAGTCTCAAGCAATGAGACTACACAACTCTCTCGTGGACCTGGTGGTAACACGGCTCTCCATGGGACTGTGCAGATTCATTAAGTGATAACAGAGTGAACCGTCACACTAGTTGCTGGGGTATTACAGCTCAGATGCCACAGCACAGATTTTCATGTACTGCAAATTGCTGCTGAATTCCAACACTAACAGCAGCTGAGATTTTAGGCTAAACTCTTTTTCTCTATCCTGCTGTGCAGATTTAAGATTGGTTTCACTTTTCAAATCTGGAGCTTAATGTTAAAAGACATATTGTGCAAAATAATCCTGGAAAATCAGTCTTCTTTAGGTAATGGGAATGTTTTGTTTCAAAGATATTTGTTTAAAAGGCTCGATAAGTAATAGTAGATTTTAGTATCTGTGTTTGAGTAACATTAAAGAGATATTCAGAGCACGTGAACACCACACCAAGATTCCTGAAAATGTGATAGCCAAAGCTTGGGAGATCTACTTCACTTTTGCATTCAGTGCCAGTTAATAAAAACTAAACTGAGTTTAAGTAGAGTGAAAGATGCCTGATACAGTAATCCAGGTAAAACACCTGCTACAGTTCTTAAAACTCTACCCCAACCTTCCTACTTGATCCAAACATTCCCCTTTAGCTTCAGCCCTGCTGTCAAAAAAAGCTTAACTCTCCCTATAGCTTTCAAAATAAGATTCCTGGGAGATATGACGGTCTCTCTGCTGGTGCCCTAAGCCCATGTCAAGCAAACTTTTAACTGTAGTGCTAGGACAGCCAAATGAACAGCCTCTGCGGCCATCTGCCCAGAGAAAAGCCTGGGAAACAGACATCATGAGTACCGAAAAGCTTACCGGGAGGTAGAGGGAAAGCCAACAGCTTTCCCTGGGTGGGGCAGGGAGGGAATGTTATAAGCAGGTCTCACAAAGGATATAAAGGTTTCTGTTAAACGTTGCCATTAGTTATGCGAAATTAATCTCCAGAAAACTGAGCTTAGCTCATCACCTGTTCCACACCCTAATCCAACTGCTGAAAGCAGTGATGTATCACTGACGAATCCCTTGAAATTTATGTTAAAAGATGGAGCTGGAGTCTTTGATTCTCTGTGGGCATTGACAGGAAGCATTTCCATTATATTTTGCCTAGACAGAAAATATGCAAACTGTCTTTTAATCTGCATGGGAGACTAGGAATGACTTGTTGAAAATTTAATACAATGCTCGATAAAGATTTATCACTTCCTCCAATTCATCCAAACTTCAGGGTGAGCATTTCAGAAGTGCACACTAATAGCCAAACTGTTTGTGCCAGTCTTCAACCAGCACTCCAAGCAGGATCATTTCACTTACGGAGCAGTTGACTTAAGAGTTGGTTTACTGAAGGCAAGAATAGGATCTTCATATTTTATCTGCACTTAAAAACCTCTTTTAACTGGATCTCTTGTAAAACACATTATTGTATACTTTATAATATAATTTACAGTATTTGTCTCATGTACCTTGACTCCATCCAGAACAGCTTTTATGACACCCTTCACCGTTGTCACCATCTCCTTGTCTTCTGAATTCACACCCTCCAGCATCACTTGATCAGACCAGCGAATGAGGTTGGCCAGACTCTGGTACACACGGCTATAGCAGGACGAGATGGCAGAACTGGACAGCAGGGGAGGAAACAGTTGAGAAAAAAAGAACAAAATGAAATTACAGAGATACTATCAAATGTTATGAGAGCGCTTGATTTAAAGTGCATTTCACACTGTTAAAAATGTGATTGTTCTCCTTTTCTCTCTGACGTTCATAATTTGTGTTTAGCAGGTGTCAAAGCCCAGGTTTCTCCTCTGCTGCAGTTGCTCTCCCAGTCCCCAGCACCAAATGGGACAACAGTACAATCAACAGTTCACTCTCAGTTAACAGAATGAATGATCTGGGCTGTAGGTTAACACAGCCATGCTAAAAAGAATGTGCTTTCCATTTTAATTTACAGCTTCATCCTATGCCTTAACTTCAAAGGTAAAATATTTAAGTCCTGTATTTAAGTCTAAGTTAGATTATTTCAGTATTATCTATGATTTCCTTCTTCCTTATTAACCCTCCCCAACTATGTCTTGGATAATTGAGAGCTGACCATATTCATTCCTTCACAAATAATTTCCTCACTGTTTATAATGCCTGAAAACACGTAATTAAGACCTGCTTCTTTATAGAAATTGAACTGAATGAATTTCAGGTTTGGAAGAGGAAGGGTGTTGCTTTGTTTTGTTTTTAATGAGAAACAGAATTGAAGCTATTGTTCTGAAGGGGGGAAAAAAAAAAAAAAGAATTTTGGAAGGATGACAACTCTAAATAAAAGTTAATTGTAACAACAGTGCTCACAGGCATTTTCCTGGCCATTCTGAAAACACTTACTTCATTACTAAACAAGGTGTGTTCACAGTACTGCTGATGGCAACGCTTCAACAATTCTTTGTAAAGTTAAATCAATTTCAAACTGCATCAACACCATAAACAGATAAGAGAAGGTGTAATCTCGCAATCATTACCAATACGAGCATTCCAAATCTTCCCATTTTACACTGGCTTAACTCCAGTAATTTCATTATTTGTGAGAAGCGCATCAAGCCCAGAAGCTTCAATGAGACTATTGAGGTGAATGAGGTTTGCAGGACTGAGGGAAGAACTATTGTCAAGTTACAACCAGAAGGATACAAACAAGGGCAAGTACTTTTTTGTTTGGTTGTTTGTTTTGGTTTTTTTTAAAGCATGCTGCTTGCCATTTGTTCTAATTTCAAATGAAATTAGCTTGGTAGGAGAAATTTCCTAAATAGAGCCCTCCTCCATCTCTTTCTAAGGCTTTGATTTCTTTGCCATTAATCTTCAGTCTGCTTTCTTCTACAGAGGCGGTAATTGAAAGCCCATTTTGTGCTAGATTTAATTGCTTTTTTCCCTCAATGCAAATACTTCACCTAAAGCAAAAAGAAGTCCAACAATGATTGTAGGGCTTTGTTCCACACTGACACAAGTCTTGCTCACTTTTCTTGAGGGGGATTTGCTATCAAAATCACTCCTTTGTGACCTGCCGCTACTCAAAAGAAATAAAGTGCATAGGTAGGTATGAAAGGACATGGCTTTTTGAGAATGTCAGATCCCCTTATTTCTTTGAGGCTAAACACAGCAGAACATACATATGGGATCTCTGCTGTAATACATACCATTCCTAGAAAGAGAGACTTACCACTATGCAGGGGACTCCATTGATTACTGACTATGGAAAAATACAGATCCCCAACTGTCAAGGTTGCATTAGTCCACTAGTAAGAGAGAGAGTATAAGGAATTTGAAGAATAGAACTGTCCAAAATACTGCTGTGGCTGAAGACCACTTAGTTGATACTTATTTCCAAGTATATTCTTGGAAGGAAAGATCACCCAGTGGATAAACAAATCAAAGCAAGCAACAATAAAGATGACATGTTCTATCCTAAAAATATTTGCTGACGTCTTACATGTCCTCTTGGTGTAAGGGGGAAGTTCATTCTTTCTTTTATTAAGTGAAAGCAGGTGCTTGTCAGGAATTTAATGGCTGTGGGAAACCTGATAGCAACTGAAGAAACTTTTGTGTCTGCATCCAGAAGCCTGATGAATGTTCCCATTCTAACAGCTATTGCTCTTTGTACTTCTACAGATCTAACCTAAATTGGATCTCTCCCGTCCCAGCCACAGCTCTGATACTCACTCGTTGCCTCCTTCATTTCGTACTGTCAGATACAACCCTGGCCTACGCATTAGGGCCAAACACAGCTAAGCATCTCTGTTTGCAAAATATGTGACATACTGTTTCGACCATACTATAAATCTTTCCTGCAGCAGAACTGAAATAAGCACCTTGAAACAAAAATTTTGGAGATAGTTAATGGGAAAACAAATAGGAACAGCACAAAAACTAGCAGGATTTCAGGAACCAAACACCTGCATTTCTCTGCCTAGTTTTGTGCTTTTCTCTGTCTGTGCTAATTTTGCTCTTTCCATATTATTCAACCATGTTTGCTTGTTTTATGTAAATCAATTTCTCCAGCACCTATGGGCTGAACAGCAGCTATATCTCTATGGCTTGAGAACTCAACAAATTCTTATAATCCATGCTGAGCTTTGCTTTGCCAAATTTTGACTTCTTTTCTGGCTTTAAATCCACTGTCTAACTGGTTAAAACATAAGACACATAATCTCTTAGAACATAAAACAAATAATCTGTTGAGAGTGCAGAGGAATGAACTTGGACTGGTTAATCTACTGAAGTACATCTGTTTACTTCTCTTCTGTATCTGATCCAGTAAAAATCAAAAAAAGCAGTTAAGAGTGCAGGCTCAGACTTCTTCAATATCAAGGTGGATGAACTCAACACAAAAAGGGATTACTCTGAAGATAAACTCTTTTTCAGGTAAAAGCTATTGGATTTGTTAGCTTTTAGGATACCATCATGGACTGCAGAAAGAGTATAGCATCTGAGGAGAATCTCCCTCCAGTAAATGATGAAATTTCCAAGTTTATGCTAAGAATGAGCCCTTCGTCCTCTCTGAAAGCATTCTGATTTGCTTTATCTTTCCACAGCACGGGTTTCTTCGCAGCAGGGAATCTGCTTTCAAATTACGTTTGAAAACTGTCACATAATTAGTAAAAATAGCAGTCACTTTATTAGCCACTGCAGCATTTCCCGTCTCCTGTGCGATGTCACTCTTCAGACACAAGAAGGAAAGAAGCTGGGAGCCTGCTGGTCTGTCACAGTCCCAAAACCCAAGAAGGAAACTTACCTTTGCTGGATGCGTGGATCGGTTTGCACCAAGGGTAGGATGGCTTCCAGTACTTTACTTGCTGAGCCTGGTAGCATCTCTAATACTTTCTTATCAATTGCCATTTTGTCCACAATAGTCTTAAAGTAGCGCAATGCACTGACAACCTCCTTCTCCTTCTCCTCTAGCCATGATACATTCTAAAGAGGAGGAAAAAAGGAGACAGATGTTAAAACCTCATGATTTTTAAAGGCAAGGTTACTTTAACTTACCTGAAGTATGGCGACACTGAATGAGGTACATTCCACCAGGACTGGAGAAAACCTCTTCTACCACAAACACTTCCAAATTGAATTACTACTCTTTCAAAAGAAGAGTCAGTGCAAAATTGCACCCACACTTCAACTTTCTGAATTACGTGCATTCCAAACTGAAGGCTAATCTTGATCAGTTTTAGGCCAAGATTAATATTACCAATGATGTGAAGGGCACTTCTTTGAAACCCACATGCCAAACTGGGAAGGTGAAAGAAAAAAATATACCAAGTGCAGATAGTAATGATAATGCATAAAAGGAAGCAACAATTACCAGTTTTAAATAGAGTTGCTCCTCTGATGCGATCAAAATCCTTTTACCTTAAGCACATCTCACTATCAAAAGGTCTTTTCAATCAGTAAATGCAGTGGATCAGCCAAAGAGAAAGAGAAAACCAAACCACAATCAGAAAAACTTCCAAACTCCAGAACAATCCAAACAAGACGCCTCCATTTTTGTACTCATCCTTGACAGATTCAGTGACATACATGGAGTTCACCCTTATTATTCTGAGTAACTCTGCTGACTCCAATATGCCTACTTGTATGAAAGTGGGTTACAGTCTTGTCTCTCCATTCACAAATAAAAAACTCCTTTCTCATCCGTCTCCAACCTAAGTCATTTTGTGATGCTGTTGGAACAAGGGAACTCACATGCTTTCCATGGGGATGGACTGTGAAAGCTAAGTTTTGGCATCGGTGAATGAATGTTGCAGAAGGGAACAATTCACTGGAATAAAGTTGAGTTGTGGTCACCAACTTCCGTGCCACCACCACCACTAGAAGAGGAAATTCAGAAGTGATACGTGATATCTTAATGGCATTCCGGACAGGGATATTTTTAAAAAGTTTACCAGAGTATGCCTGGACGACTTTTAATGCCACAAGCAGTTCCTAAGTGAGATTTAAATTAACTACCGAACACTACTAGAAAAGGAGCAGAGAGCTTAGCAGAGTTGGGTTTCATCCATTATCTCCTCAGTAAATTCAGCTTCAAGAATTAATGACCTACGGGCATTGTGTGCTCCCCATACTCTTGTCAGCCGTTAAACTGCTGCTTTTCTGCAAAATCAGGCCAGCAGCCCAAAAGATTTTAGGAAGAACAATTTATAGGCAGCACTGGTTAGTAATTTGAGGCCAGTTGCATACAAGGCTTAGAGTCCCAAGTTCCATCTAGCTCCAACTTTAGAAGTCTAAGGCCCAATCCAAGATCTGCAAACCACCCTGTCATTTTCCATCTCATCTTGGAAGTGCCCAAACTCTGCTGCTGTTTCCAATTTTGACAATATTGCTTGCCAGGCACCTCAAGTTTTGCTGCACAGCTCATAGCCACCCTGAACTCCCTTGCTGCGGAGCATCCTGGCAACTTGCTGATGTCAAAAATGACATTTCCCACTTCTCAGGTATGTGCCCTCACCACTGCACAGTTTATTGCAGGATGTGCAGAGGCTCAGTCCCTTCCATGAAGGTTTTGCACTTCATACGAAATGATCACACATTTCAGGGATGCGAGAGCCCGTATATTCCCCAAGTGAGTATGACTATGGCCCAGTGCTCAGACTCTCAAACAAAAGCGAAAAAAATGTGGATTGCAGTTCCTGCTCTGATGGCTGTTTATGTATTTCATTCAACAACTGTTTCCTGTAGAAAGGCTTGCGACTTAATAGCTTTAAACACTCTCCTGGTGCATAGGAGGGATGGGTTTGACTCTGAGAGTTCAGGGTTGAGAATGACAAGCGGAAACACAAACTTTCCGTTGAGCACATCAAGGCACGCAAATCCAGCCACCGGACACTATTTGGGACACAGCCCTTCTTTTGCAACTTTCCTGCTAGCTCTTTGGGTGACATTCCCTAGGAGCACTTTTTACGAATCCTCTTCTGAGGTCCACAGGCGTCCTATGTATGTGTGTATATATGCGCACACAAACACACACAAAGCAAGCCGATTCATCCTACACAGGACTGCAGGTTCTGCTACAGAGCTCAGATATATGAATGCCACTTGTTGTTACGAGGTTGAAGTTTCTCCTGTTCAGCGCTTTACTTGCTGAGGCCTGAGAACAACAGCAATAAAGCTAGAGAAAGGAGAAATAACCTGGTGGGATGGATGGATATTAATATATTCCAGTGTCTGCACCTCACAAGACTAGTGATATTAAGTTTTTCCACCAAACATTTTAGTGTGTCCCTAAAGCCAAAGTAATCATGCAGTGGTACACCTCTGGGTTGGCAGACAGGACCAGCACTAATCTCTCACTTCATTTCTCACCCGAGATGAACTTCCCCCAGCAGTTACCTTACCCCAGCGAGCGAGCAGATCGGTAACTGTGGGAGTTGCTAAAGCAGCAGGACCACTTGATTCACCCATTTCCCTTCTGGGCATTAAATGAGATAAACTTAACACTCGGGCAAAACAGCATCTCCTCTCCACTCCACTGCCTGCCTGACACATATAGGTATTTTTGCATGTTTTTTAAAGTTTTCCCTTAAATAATCGTTACAAATGCATCATGTATGAGATACAGCTGACCCAGAACGGGTTACAGCGAGCTGTATGGAATACACCTGATTACAAAAGCTGGAACAGTCACTTGTTCCCCTGCATTTTCGCAGTGAAAAACCTATTATAACTTTCCATATACTGTTCCTGACACTACTGTTCCTTCAGTATGCCCTACGGTAAGAATCAAAGACAGGGTCCAGGGGATAAAAGGAGGCTCTGAAAAAAACTCCCCCTATGCTGCCCCCCTGCATCTAGGTCTAAAGGGGAAGGGGAGAAGACGACGACTGCAGGGGTCAAGCATAACCTTCAGGTTACACGTAGTGATTTTACATTAATTTTTGGTATTGCTATTTCTGCTCTACAGTGATTATCTACTTCAAGAGTATAAAAATAGCATCTTGAGTACTTAAGAGGGAGGAAAGGATGATATTTGGTTTATCAAGTGCGTCTTCTGACAGAAAATCGCCTGTTTGTCAACTGATATCTACATTCCAGTGAGAGAACCTGGTGAAAATCCAGGCATATCCTCTTCCCCACTCCGTCCACACAAAGTTAATAAGCTGGCTACATCCAATTGATGTACAACTGATTGATTAGTTGGACAGTAGCTATTAAAATAGACAAGACATGAGCCAGAAATCAACAATATTTCACAGTGTAAAAATGCATACAGCTTAAATAATCACATACAGTAATAAAAATTATTGCAAGTGTTTTGTTTTTCAATAAAAAAATCCCAATCTGTACATAAAAAAAAAAAGGTTTACATGTTCTAGCATGCCTTATCAGTAAATCCTCTTGCATTGATTTTTAGAGGAAAGAAAGAAAAGCAAAAGCTTCACCTATTATTAACATGGCAATATATATTTACTATAGAACAGCATTTTGAAAAGGGCTCTCCGTTTTCTAATTTATTTAATTTGTGGTCACATATCAATTTAAAGGAAGGCCTCTAAATTATCTCAATGCACCATCCTGAAACATCATTGGAATTAAAAGCCTTCAAGGAGTACGATCAGATTTTGGTTTTAATTTTATTTTTTAAGAGCAGTCAGCAATGCAAGGTGCTTGGCTCCCTAGAAAGCATATCCATAGCATCCCAGGGAAAAAAAACTACAGCCTGGGAAATAAAAACCTCATCATCTTCCACCGGATAGTGCAGAATAGGGCTAGGAAGCCCTGCAGTGACTTCTCCGGGTGCTAAGCGCATCACACAGCGTAAGATAACTGCATCTTGCCGACTGCTCTCAATAACACTACAACAATCCTCAGCAAAGATAATCTAAAAAAGTTTGCATGTCTGGCACTGCACATTGGATGAGACTTTGAACAACTGAGAAAGATTTTGTATTATCATGACCAACCTCGACTGTTCTTAACTTTTGGCTTAAATTTATACTTGAAGACCAACTGCAACAGTATTGTTACAGAGATAGTCTCCAGTCTACATAATCAGGTCACAACAGCAGAGGAGATAACACTTTGATAGGTTTGTGCTGGGAAAGTGTGGTGATCTCAGCTCTTAGAGGACTTGAAGTATGTTGGGTCTGAGGAATGGTGTGCTGGAATCAGCAGCTGCTTGAGCACATCTGTTTGACTCTCCCTGCTGATGTCGTCAGAGATTGAGCACATCTTTGGATCAACTTCAAGGATTGGCTTGCCTGGGTTTCTGGGTTTTTAAAAGGATCACACCCCAAAACCAGGCAGTTATTTGGAAGCTTTAAGCATAACCACAGGGTGTGCGTGTGGGGAGGATGTGTCAGGCCATACACTACATTCCATAATGAGATATTTAAAAGCTTAAGGAAGGAGGTCTCATCAGGCTCTCCAAAGGGAAGTACATGCCTTAGTTGCGCTTATTTTATACTACACAGTGCAGTTTATAACTAACCATAAAGTAACACTGAGGATCCCTGAAAAATCAGCAGAATTCTGCAGAGGACAAAGTTGTGCACCGGATTTTGATAAACTGAGTACCAGCAAGCAAGAAACCAGCAAGACTAACAGAACATGTCCTTCATCTGCTTACTTTGTTCGCTGACTTCTCTGGTGTTTTCACTGTCAGGTCAGCTTGCTTTCCTTTCTTTGAAGGGGTTCTCTTTATTTTTGGGGAATGAAACTTGCCCTTCAACTTCATAGTGAACGAGGAGAGATGGGAACGCTCAGAATCTAGAAAAACACAGAAATGCGTTACTGGATTAGGGTAAATTTGTTGAAACCGGGGACATTGTGTTACAGCATTATCTGGAAGACCAGCCTATGAAAAACATTGCAACCATGTAAATTTATTGAGTGAAACAGGATAAAAAAGAAAAATAAAAAATTGTGGCTCTCTTATTATGTTTCCAACCACAACATCATTTCCTGCTTCCCCTCGGAGGCAGCAACGCTGCAGTGCAAGGGCAGGAACAGTGGGATTGCTACTGCTCTGTGCCTTGAGAGAGAAAAAGAACACCACCTCTCTTAAAAGCACTTCTCTCCAGCAGATCCCAAAGTACTTTACAAAGGGGGTAATCATCGTCCCTCTTTTGCAGATGAGAACTGAGTCAAGGGGCTGAAGTGACTTGTTCAGAGAGCTCTGGCAGAGCAGAGCTCCTGCCCGTGCCTTGGCTGGGAGTCAGTAGGCACCGTGGGTGCGCAGGCAGGGTTCTGCCTGGCACCAGGACGGGTGGCTGCTTCAGGAAAGGAAAACACAGTCCCGACATAATGCCCTTCTGGGGCGGCTGATCCCTACCCACTTGCTTCCAGCCCCTTTGAATGTGGCTCCATGGACAATCTGAACAAAAATGCCAGCCCTTGTCATTGGCAATGGATTTCACTTCAAATGTACCAGACAAACCAGGGAACGGAGAAACCACCTCAATACCGTGGCATCCTTGAAGGAGCTTAACTGCAGAACTTCTTAACCCTTTCAAAAATTCTATTTTCATGGGGTTTTGAATACCTAAAAGCAGAAGTCTCAAAGGTTTGCAATCATGCCGTATGCAGACTTACTGTTGAAATATATTTTTATGTGTTTAGCCACAAAGCTACATAAAACTAAATCGCCTTGTAGAGAGCAATTTAGAATGTATTTTGAGCAAAGAGCACTTTAATAAATGAAGGTCTGAATTGCTCTCTAGTGACCCAGATAATTCAGCAGAAGATACCGAACTTGTCTTTAACTACATTATCAAGAAAAGTAAGCAGTTTTGCTGTAGGTTTCATTTTTCTTTTAGATTATTTGGGAATTGACTGCACCGGCTGTAATGAGTCAAAACGACACAGTCCCATGCATGCAGCACTGCACCACCTTGTTAGCATGCAGACTGCAAACTGAAAAGGCTGCTGAGTCAAATCTAGCACCCAGAAGCTAAATACCACACTGCAGCGCAAACACCGCTCCTCATACTCAGAAATTACCTAACCACAACTCAAGGGAAGGGAACCTGTGCATGCCTCCCCGTAAAGGCCGTCTCCCTTTAAACCTGGTTTCCTGGTAGTGTGCTAAGACCCTGCTATTAACACCTTCACCAGAGCCAAAACTCCAGTTAGTTACATCCTCTAGATCAAAATTTTGCAGGCATCCTATTAATGGAAGCCGCATCAGCACCAATTCCAATCTAGTCTGGCTGCAGACCTGTTCTCCATTTACAGGAGTAAATGTTTTTCAAAGTTTTCTTTTTATCATAAAGTCCTGTTTAATGCACCGAGGAGGGAGGCACTAAAAACCTTGGTCACTGCAGATAAATCCAGACATATCAGTTGGCCACTCAAGAATCATTTACAGCAGCTGGCACCCTAACTTAGCAGCAATTTACGTCACTGCTTTAGATGCACAAGGGGATCTCCAAACCTTTAAAACCTCTCCGGCTCCACAGGGTGCTGAAGGTCACCACTGAAAACAGTTCCTGGCTGCCGTGATAATGCCCTTGCATGCCCCCCCCCACCCTCCCACAATAATTTGTATTTATTTTGTACACCAGATGAGAATTTCTATACATGCACTCATACGCATGCTTGCCAAGAGAAGTCATGGCTCTGAATTTATTTTTCAAGAACTGGCTAACAATTACAATAATTAATCTACAGGGAAATAATGGTAGCAGCAACAAATTGCATCTGGCTCCTCCATGGACTGCAGTGAGATCCAAACTGCTAGTCTGAGTACGAAAATGTTCAGTACCTACAAAACCCTTGGTTGCTTATGGTGATAGTTTTGCCTTGTAGGGACGAGAAATTTGGAAAGGAGAAAGATTTCAAAAGACTACTATTTCCTTTTTTCCTTCTCACCAGACATCTCTACCCACCTTTATGGGGCAAGCACCCGAACGGCTGAACCAATGCGTGTGCATGGTCAGGTCATCTCCCACAGGGGATGTCTTGTCACCAGAGAAAGTTTCTCTTCTGCTGGCAGCAGATCCCCTTCACCACCACCACCACCAGCCTAACCATTGCCCTTCGCTCTCTTTACCTTCCGTCACATCAAACACTGAATCATTTGTGTGCCACGCTACGAGGGGACACAGACCTACAGGGCCAGGACAGGAGCAAGTGGCTGGAGCTGAATAGGAACTTCCTAAAATAGCACGAATGAAGCAAACCAGCTGACATTTGTTTGAACAGCCCTGCTAAGTCTTGCTTTGAAGATCACAAATTAATGCAGCTTTTTACTACCATGTCTTTCCATCTACAACAAGCATTTTCCAGATCTCATCTGCTCATAAGTTTCTGATGCATTTGCAGTTAAACAAATGAGTCACAAACCAATATTCTCTCACACTCAATTACACTTAGCATTTAAAATAGCACTTTTCTTGTTCCAAGCACAGTACAAACATCTCTTTCTCAACCTTAAACAGTTAGGTCTTAACCTTACCCTGCAGCTGGGAAGCAGGCACAAAGGTGAAGCAACTTGTCTAAACAGAGCAGAGGGTGAGTCAGTGACTCCAGTACAGCATCTCCATCAAACTGCAGGCCCTCATCCCTCTCCCCATATTCATGAATCAAGCAGAGGAGCTACTGTGATTATATTCAGTGAATGCCAACAGACATTATTCGGTATGATGGGCTGTACAGTTTTCAAGCAGATACATCATTCAAGCGTTACAAACAGAATTTGCATTTTCATGAATCTGGATGAAGTGGTATGAAAGAGAAGTTACACTTAAATAAGAAGGTATTCTAGCTCAAAGGTGTAAGCTACCTAAGCTTTTACAGATGAAGACTGAAACTCTCCTGCAAAAAGTACAGCTGAGCAAGACTTCCTAGACTGGTTACCATAGCACTGGTCTGCTTTGAGGAAGTCACTTTCTTTACACTATATCCTAATTTAAATATCTAACGCGTCCTATGCCTGTCCACTTTAAAAGTTCAAATAGCACAGCATGCCTTTACAGATCAAATAATTTGATAACGTACAGAGAGCAGCAGAAAATAGAGCCACGGCAGTGCTAAAACCTCTTCTCCTGTCCCTCTGCTCCTTTCTGCCTGTATACAGTAATCAAAGCCCTTAATGCAGCATTGACATTGCTCCTGAGCTTGGTAGTCTGCACGCTGGAAATCGTTCTATCATATTACCCTCGCCTCTTACTGATGAATAACCGGCAGTGTTTAACTGGCGTCCCAGCACAGGCTTTCTCAACTTTCTCCTTTCTGGTGCGCAGGAGGAGGGGACCCTGTACTCAACTTACATGCAGCGTCCAAATATTTATAAGATGAATGGGAAAAGACAGGGTAATAAACTCGATGGAGTGATTTCAACTGGAAGGGAAAAAAAAAAAAATACTGTTGTATCAAAGTGTTTCTGTCTCAAAGTAACTGCTGACTTTCTGTCCCCTTGTATTTCATCTGTCTGGATGCTCTGCTGCTGCACACAACTGGAAAAAAAAATCCCTTCAAAATTACTTTACTATGGATTTGAGTTTATTGATTTCTGACTGGAAGTTTTAATACGTCACTCTTTTCATTGCTAATTCCATCCACTCCCGCTCCGTTGTGCTTGAACGCTCTCCAGCTGTTGAGTCATGGCCCTGCTCAGCTCTCAGGCTCCTTTCCCCCGACCGGCACGTGTCTGGGGTCCGACCACACACGCAACACCAGAAAGCTCACGTTATGTGCCTGCTCCAAGCAGCCCCACTGCCAGGTGTGGCCAGAGGGTTTTTTGGGCACCCCTCGAGCCCCCCATGGGGAGGCCATGGCCGACCAGGAGCCACCTCGTCCCCTGGCAGCTCCACCAGCTCCAGCAAAGCGCTGCTGCCTGCCAGTTTGCTGACAGAAAGCTACATCTGGTGAGGAAAGAACTGCAGCTTTTAAATGACAGTGGATTAAGAGGCACAAGGGAAGGCAGATAAATCAGCTTATGTGCTTGTGGGCGAAGAAACTGGGCTGCTTAGGAGAAAGCCGGCAAGTCAAAAGCCCAACATCCACTGCTGCCATAGCCAAACAGTCACTTGCCACTGGGGTTCCAACGAACGCCAGAAATTAAGTCAAAACACACGCAAGCTGGTGAATTCCACCAACCTAACCCAGCAGCAAATTATTTACTTTAAAGTCAAAGTGAAAGGTCAGCCTTTTACAGACCTAAGTCATAGCAGACTTTCCAGCTGCCGGGTCCTCCCTACCGGCCGCCCTCCACGCCAGCTGCACCTAACCAGCACATGCGGGGTTTCAGAGATGGGAAATAACCCCCCGTCTGCTTCTGGGCCTCCTGGTCATGCTTTTGTCACTAGGGTACACCTCAACGGTAGGCAGGCTCCAGCAGCAGGGACGGGCAATTTAACTGTTCAACTTGACTAGTACTTGGATCTTATCAAACAAATTGAAAATAGACTTTTTTTTAATTAAAAAAAACCCCAACTTTACAATACGGTACCTTTTCTTTCCTTCACCTGAAAACCTAAACCCTCCATCTTCTCCAACCAAAACCCTGCAGCCTTAGGCGAAACAAAGCCTTAAAAAAGGGTTATAGTTCATTTTCCAGCTTGAACTGACTCTTGCGGCTCATTAGAAAGAATGAAGTGGAGTCTAAAAATCCCATCCCACAAATGGTTCCCTTTTCAAAAACTATTTGGGTCTCTGCTGGATGCACATATTTAAAGGCTATCAGTTTAAAAATAACAGCAGACATCTCTCCCCATGTCATAATGAAGCTATTGTGCACATTTTTAATCAACCGCTCCTGCCATTTA